TACTAACAATATTTTTTAATTAATTAAATTCTTGTAATAATAGTAAGAGAAAGAATCGACGAGTGACAATTTAATCCTCACTATAAACTTTTATTTATCTTTTTATTTTATTTTTATTTTACTTCTTAAAACTAAATAAACTTTTTACAGTTTTTTGATTCTTGTTAAATGGTGATATTGCGAAGTATTGTTTTGGTTAACACCGATTATTTAACAAGTATAATTGATTATGGCTTACTTTTGGGTACTCTTGTCAGTTAATCGCAAATAATTCAGTGCTTATCAATTAATTAGTTTACTTTGATTCTTGTTTTTATATTTATTGGCCAATTTCAAACTCACTTTAGTATCTTGTTTAACAGCCTTATGTTCACCAGTATTTCCAATTAACCTTTGGGCGATACTTCATTAACGCTCGCTAGTTAACCAACGTTAGTCCTAACCTTTCTTGCAAAATAAAACGTGGCTTTTTACCAAGGCATTGCACTCGTTGCTTTTATCAATGTGCTTTAAACAAACAAAATAAAGACGACGTTTTTATTTTTCTTTGCTTGGACCCAAAGTCATTCCCTATTCAAGTTAACAATAAAGGTTTATTATTGCAAAGTAACTTAATTAATCAATAAAGCTACGTAAAATCTTCATTTGGTAATGATTATGTTGTATATAGGTCTACATTAAAATTAGTTGACCCTGGAACATAAAGTATTCGATGATTTCTACTCTGGTCATGTATCACGTTATTAATAAATAAGCGGAGTGGGAAAAATTTAGCTCCTCGGGAACAATTGATGAAACAAAGAAGAGATTGGGATGCACAAGAAAATATAAAATATAAAAATATAAAATTGAAAAAGACCTTTGAATATATATTTATATGTTTTTTTTTATGAGCTTTTATACATTTTATTATTAACCTTTGGAACAATTTTACTTATGTCAAATGTTTTTACTTGCGTCATTTTTGACTTATGGCAGCGAATTTGACCGTAATAGTTTTACAACTTTCGTCGAACAACGTTAGTTATTAGTGAAAGGAATAGCTTCTTCTGTCACTAAAGATGAAGATGGTCGAGGACAGAAGGAAGAATTGGAAAGCGAAAAATTTGTTTTTAATTGTTTGGAAGCATCTGTTGGCTCTGAAGATAATATTAATTTGAAGTGGTATTCACTTTGATATAAAATATATAGATAAATATATATATATAATATACATTCATATATATAGTCATGTATATTTATTTATGTACAAAAAACAAAATTAAAAAACTAGTTTACATGAAAATATTAACTAAAAAATTTTCCAACTCCAGCAGAAAACAATCTTCCTACAAGGCTTGGATTTTCAGAGGCAGCTCTAGCAGCCAAATTACTTGCCCATCTACGCTTTGCATCTTTGTCACATTGAGTATACCCAATTACATTAGCTGTATTCAACACCAATGCAACCGCCACTATTAACCACCAACTAGGCTGAAATAAGGACAAAAATGCAAATATCAACCATAATACCAATGTTAAATAAAGTGAAAACCAAAATACGCGTGAGTCTGTTGGATTAGTCGGTTTTGTTGGCTATTTGTATAAATATAAGAAAAAAAGTGAGTAGAAAAATTGAATGATGGGAAAAACTATTGTTAATTAGGTTGACGCTAGCAATTTTAAATTTTAATCAAACACTTACATCGTGACTTTCAAATTTATCCTAGTTGCACGATGAATTTTATACATTAGTCACGTGAGTGCATTTATGGAGGGAGTTTTCATATGAGTGGGACTGAAAAAATACCACGCAGTGCAGAGTATGGAGGGTGTGCATTTATCCCTAAGTCCTGAGGTTGGGATCAAGACGTAGCATGCATTTATGGAGGTCTGACTGTAGTAAAATTTTATTTTACTAATTCTTCTTTATTTCATTGGTCGAAAACTGTTTCACGTGATATTTTCCCACCTAACCATTTGTATCACATTAATTTTCTTAAATTCTATCGGCTAAAAATCTTAGTCTCCTCATATCACAAGGATTTCTTGAAATTTATTGGCTAATATTTGTGCACATGATACATTTTAAAACTTAATTAATGATCCATCTATACCAGGGTTGGCAAATTGACTGGTTCATTGAGGACTGATGGACTTTGAGCTGATCCATTGCCATTAATAAAATACTAAATATAGTTAAAATGTTACACTAATGGACCCAATAGACCACCAATGGACCACACATTCGCCAACCCTGATCTATACATAAAGTCAAAATTAAAACCTCAAAGTTGAAATGTTTCAACTTGAGGCAACTACATAGTAAAAATCAATTTCAACCTTATTTCAACCCTATTTTGACCAGATCTGCAAATGGTCAAAATAGTTTTGACTTCATCTATAAATCTATCTGTCTATAAATCAGAGAAATGTTTCAAAAAATAAAAATCTACAAATGTCCATTACACAATAATATTAGCAAAATGTGGAATGGCAGGGAAAAAATTATTAGACATTAAAATTTTATTGATGCATACATATATATTGCCTAAATGTTTTTTAAGGACAAGTTTAACATAACAGTTCTTCTTACTGTAAATTCAACTGGTACTGAAATCAAAGCCATTAGCAATTGGAGATTCTAAAAGACCTAGATGTTTGTTACAATTGACATTTCAAATTTACCTGTAATTTACAAGTACAACTCAAAGTTTTGATATTTGGTGTCATGGTTAAAATATGAAGAGTTTCAAAATAAAGCAAGTTTGCATTCTTTGAATGATGGCGAAACTTCAGTTGTCAAATATTTACATTGCAATATCTTCCTCTGAACACCTCATCCCATCTGCAACCACTGGGTGTAGAGATTATCAAGTCATTCAAAGCTAAATATAAACATTTATATTTTTGGCATGTTCTGAGATAATTTGTAATGGCATAGAGCTCAATTTGAAACAGGCTATTGACAAGATTGATCAACCTTGGTCTGATTACAACAATAAATTAGAGTTATTGTGTGCAGAGTAAGGTTGCTTGCCGAAACCTCTTAATGACTGTTGAAACTCTGTCAAAAATCTAATGAACAATTAGTATATACCTTGTCAAAACTCTGGCAATTGACAAAACCCCCAAATGCGAAACTCTGCTGAAACTCTAATAAACAATTAATGTGTAACCTGTCGAAACTCTGTTGATTGATTCCTGGAGGAGTTTTGCCCACAATCTTAGTGCAGAGCATGCAATAATGTAAAAATCAAAATGGTTGCTGAGTTTAAAATAATGGTATATAAGTGACACTATTTAACAACCCATTCTTGATTGTTGATATAATTATTGCATGTTTCTGCATTCTATAACTGGTTTATTATGTAAACATTCCAAAACTTGCAGATGGAAATTTTGGAATACCCAGACATGAAATAATGGGAATTTTAGCATATCTCATTTTATAAGCAGACATACAATAAAAAACTGTTGAGGAAAGACAAGTATTTTTCCTGGTGGCCAAATTTTATAAACAAATTCAGTGGTAAATGAAAATGATGAATTTACCAATCCATTAACTGATGATGATAATCAACAAGCATTGGTTCATCAAATCAAGGAATTCATTATTGTGATTGATGAACCACTTGTAACTGAAGATACAGAAATTGTTGAGATGGTTTTAGAAGATGCACAAATTGAAGCTGATACTAATATAGATTCTGATGAAGGCAATGAAGAACCACACTAATGGTTACTATTAAAGAAGCTTATGAAGCTCTAAAGAAAAGAATTAGATTTGAAGAACAGCAAGATGATATAGATAATAATAAAGAGAAATTGGCAATGTTTAGAAAATATCTCCTTTGTTGTAAGTTAATTGATAAATCAAAAATGATAATGTTGATAATATTA